AATTATATTAACAATTTAATACTAGAATTATATTAACAAACACCTCAAAGTTATTTCTGCCCATCCTACTACAAGGGAGAAGAGACCAAAGTCCACTACTCCGAATACAAAATTCCACTCCGCATGGCCAGACAAGTGCTGGCTTTCAAATCACTAGTGTCCGGACCTAAAAATCAAACTGCCAATTCAAGGTGAAAGGCTCCACATCCCATTATCCATTTCTCAGTCCTCCCCTACCAAACTTCAGTTCCAAAACACACTCCCCAAAACAAGATCATAGCACTGTGGAGAGGAGGGCTGTGAAGTTCTCCTACAGTATTGCTACAGAAACAAAAAAAACACGGTGCTTCAGTCATCAAAATAATCAGAGGCATACTGGAATCCAGTTTATCCACAATACCTGCCAGCACAGCTATCAATGCATTAATCAGCTACGTGAAAATTAAGCTTGAATCCCGTAAGACACCTGAGTCCTGCCAAAACTCCATCAGCAGCTTCATCTTAATTCTGAAACTCGCTACTGGAGGAGCACTCCTGCAAACTCCCCCCCACAAGTACTGGTGATGTGTATGTGCTCACACACAGACATTCTTTTTTTCAGAGGTTATTTTCTCTTAATATAGGTAGAAGCGACAGATATTTAAACTTTGATCCTGCGTCAAAACCATGTTAAGGCACAAAAAAAATAAGCTAACATATTTGGCTTAAAAACACAGCAAGAATATTGTTTCCAGGGTCTCTTCAAAGCAACATTCAAACTGCTGCCATGGCACCCTCCTGCCCCACACTCAGAAAACTAATATTGAAAAGACACTAGAAAAGCCCCAAAACATTCTGTATGGGGGCACAAGTGATCTAACTCAGCATATCAAATGTGCCGTGGCACCTCTCGCTCCCTAAGAAGTAGAGCAGCAAACAAATTAATAGCTGGCTCACTGCCACGCCAATATTTCAAGTGCATGCAACCCTAAACCACCTACATGCTTTTTTTTGTGAAAACAAAAAAGCTTAGGGAGTATCACATTTATTGTGCTGCAACAGGAGAATCCGATTATGTTTGAGCAGCATATCATTTCACCTGAACTAACTGAAATATTCAGTTACACAACAGCTAATCATGAGCAGAAGATAAGCTCAGAGATAAAAATAGGGAGAAAGACAGAGAGACCTTGTAACAGTTAATCAGCATGATTCATTTGTCAGACTGCCATAAAGAGCACCACCTGAAAAAGCCTTGAACTTCCCTCCAACAAGTCTTTTGAAGCAATAAAGCCTTTTGGGTTGCTCTTGCTTTAGTTTTATTTCCAAGTCATTCATCAAACTCCTGGTAATCCCCAAATACACAGAGGAATCAGAGTCCAAATGGGGAAGAGGTGCAACGTACCCTGTATGTCACCCAGACAAGATTAGCCCGGGAGCAACCCCTCGCAGCACGTCAGTCTTGCTTGACTTCCATAAAAAAACGTGTCCAAATAGATTCCTGCAGGACAGCTTCATCCCAGGGTTTCCAAGTCTGGCCTCTCTGTCCTCAGCGCCCTGGCTGGTGCCCAGGTATTTAACTCCCTTAAGATGAGCTGGATCACTCGGATTTCAAACGGTCATTGGGATCACTGTGCCACGCAGAAAACCACAGTGGGGATGGCAGCAGCCGGCCCAGGAGACACAGCCAGGTACAGGCACATGGCCACGAAGGCAGAGAGCTGCCAACTCTGACATACGGGAGGCAGTGGTGATTTTGGAGGAAGACAGAGACCATTTGTAATCGTTACCTTGGTATAAAGTGCTTCATGAAAATAAAACCGATTCTGCATTCTCCTTTCTCTTTTCCATAAGGCCTCAGACTCTGTTCCCAACAGCCCTTGCAAGATGAATGCAAAAACAAAAAAAAAACACAACCATCTCTTTGGACAATGTGGGAGACTTAAGCATTTGTTGCTGAACAATGGCACCTATTCAAGACTCAGCCTTCCTCTGGCTGTTAATTAGGAAAGTAAACAAAAAACCCTATAATTTAAGCCTTCGCTAGATATTTGGCTTTCTAATCTCCTCTGGAGAATACTGTCAAGCTACTCTCCTGTCCAAAGCAGGGATTTACACTTCCACATGAAGCCAGCTCCCCAAACCTTAATTGGAAGTGGCATTAAGTTCAAGGCAGGCTTAAGCAGAGTAAGATCCAGCAGCAGCAGAATTTCATTAAGCCAGTCTTCCATGTCTTAACTTAATTTGGCCATTTAAGATGATGCATAATTTAAAAGTATCGAGCAGCTCCACTGTCAGACATATATCCTCTGATCTCACTGCTCATTGACAGCAGTAACAAGCTGCCCCTGCCCCAACAACAGCACCCACAAAATTACATTTGGGTCCAGACATTCATCCTTCAAGGCTTTGCCACCAGCCTGGTTGTCCAGTGCTAATTGCATTCATTTCACCCATACCGCCTCTCAGACTTGATCAAGTTGTTGTCTCCTAGGCGTAACACAAATGGAGTTGGGATATTGTAGGGTAACCAGCTGAACGCTGCTCTGCCAGCTGGCTGCTCGCTTTGGGTTGGTCGTTCCAGGTCTGACCAAAGCCCTTCAATTTTGACCCTTCCCAGCTGACCTTGTTTTGGCCTGAGGTTCACCCCAACTGCAGCTGCCCCACATGGCAGACACTATATTCAGCAGTTCAGCCATCACCTGATGCAGTTGCCTTTAGAGCCAGATACTTTAAGCTGACCCAGGGGACCAAAGTTCAGTTATTTTAAACGCTTCCTCTCGGAGCATCTCTGGCACCACTGCAAGATTTCCACCTGCCTTTCCCATCAGGCATGACCAATATTGTGACCCCTTGTGTTCAGCAAAATGGAAAAACCATACAGATATTCCTATGTATAAGGAAAGGTCCCATCTGCACCACAAATTTAAACTGTGTTTTTCTCAGCAGTGTACACACATGTGGATAAAATGCAAGACAGCACGATTAACTTTAAGGAAACATGTTTTATCCCTCAAAAGCATGTAAGCTTGCTTCCTGCCAACAGTTAAAAACCCCTCCTTTGCATCACAGGTAGGAAACTACACAACTTGTCTCCTGTACCAGGACTATTACCACTTCTCCAAATTCCCCAGATGTCTGTGCCCCAACACAATGAGGTAATCCAAATGCTTTTTTCTGATAAAACATTATGCAATTGTCAGAGCAGCCCCAAAATACAGGGATGCAACACATGCAAAGTAGCTGCCGCACAACCGCAACCTTAAGCTGCAGCAACGACACAGCCTCGATTCCTTTGCTGAAGTCCCTAAACACAGGCAAAATGCTTCAACGAGCAGGACAAGAATGGTCACAGCAGGTTTGGTTCAGTCTGCTTCCAAATAATTCTATATGAATCACATTTTCTTCAGACCAAGCAGTTTGAACTTACTGTGAACATCATATTTTTGCTGAGTGCAGTAAAAAGCCCACCCCCGACACATGACTGTACCCTCTGTAATCTTTACCACAACTACTAGTTTTGCTGTTTCACTACAGCAAGTCAAATAGAGAACCACCTCTCTTATAATACAGAAATCACTACATGACATCTTCAGAAAAACTGAAAATTAACAGGTTATTGCTGCTTTAACATAGATATTTCAATTTCATTAGATCAGAAGTTGAACTAAATCACCCGGGCAAATCAACTGCAAGTCACAGATGAACATGGTTATGGCAAGGGTGAAAAACTGCCATGTACTCCGCAAGTAAGTTGGTTTATTACTTTACTCTAAATTCTCAGAGCTGCCCGAAGCCTTATCTCTAAAAAAACAAAGGTAAGCAACCAGCTATGAAATCAAAACTGCCTTCAACGAAGACAACCATTCTTATTAAGTCAGACTTGTAATGGAGACTGGAAACTGAAGTTTGAGACTTCTTTCAGTGAAAAGAATTACACCAGAACTGTTTCCAACTATTTATTTCTTTGTAACCCAAAACAATCTACGAAAGCCACTCGGTTTGACTAAAAATATGAAATACATACTTCTTGGGTTTTCTAAATAAAGCAACATTTCGGCAAATATAGTTACCTCCTCTTGTGCAGCTATCCTTCTTGGGTTTTCTAAATAAAGCAACATTTCAGCAAATAGTTACCTCCTCTTGTGCAGCTATCATAAGAGGACAGAAACTTACAGCAGCAATGTCTATAATGGCACTGTACCAGAAGACAGCCAAGCTCACGAAATGCCCAAGAAAGAAGAGACTGTTGCTCCAGACAGCAGTCTGTGGCTGGGATGATGTATGTTACCCACAAGCAATATATTCTATTTTCAGCACATATTTAGGATTCCAAATCTTATTCTTTGTAACAGCAGAACATACTTAGTATCGTCTCTTCCTGAGCTACACCACACCTTGACACCAGAGGAAAACATGATCTAAAAATATCTCCCAAATGGCACAGCAGCGCAGAAACTCACGTACCAGTGATCCGCCAAACCACAGGCCATTAGTTAACTGGGTTTTGCCTACAGAAGTTTTTCCATTACTTTTGTTTCTTTTTTTTTTTAAATGAAATTACCCAAATTCAAATTTCATTATGTTGAACTTCCAGCTAGCCTTAAAAAAAAAAAAAAAGAAAGGAAGAACAGGGCTTGAAGGGCTCCTTATTAAATTGCTCAACGTGTCTTGTGCAGTGCTTTTGTGATTTGTAGCGCTGCAAGAACAAAACAAACAGCTGAAGTTTCCCAGCTCCAACAACTACACTTTGCAGCTGGGTGTTGACATTTGGAAAGAGAGTCTCTATATCAGAACTTTCAATACCCCAAAGTTTACCCAAACTGGGCCTAGTCATAGTATTTCCTAAAGCAGCAGCAACTTACATAGACATGTGAATTCTGAGTTTTGATTAAGCTCCCACCTTTACTTTCCTCTTTCCATGTCCTCACAGCTGGTTGTGGGACGAGACTGCATGTGCTCGGCTACTGTGTTTCAGTGACAAACATTTCAGGACAAAGCTGAGAAAAAAAGAAAAATACCTGTGGATTTGTCCGTTTTTATGCAGGTAGTCCAGTCCCTCCAGCACCTCCTTAAGGATTGTGGCTATGCAGGGTTCATCCAGGACACCAGTCTTGTGTTCTCCTTTGGCCACAATGTGCTTTATAATATCCAAAACAGACCCTAGAGAAGAGTTAAACACATTAGTTTCAACTAGAAGAACTGATTCACAGCTAAGGGTACTTTAGAATCACTTGATATACAAGTCCAAGGAATTCATTGGCAGGGGAAGTGACGACGGTCAGGATCAAAGTCGGTAGCTGAAGCCTTGGCTGCAGGAAAGCAGAGCCAAAGATTTTACAGCCTGAAGGTGGGCTGTAAAACCCCCGTGATCACAAATAGTCAAGAAATTATCTGAACAAGCCAAAACCTAAAGCCTACAATACACAGGACTCGTGGAAGGTTTTTAAGTAGATACTGGCGCTACAGCTGTTTTAGCACTGAGTACTGGAGAAGCAGGAGGGGAAATGGAAAAAGCAGGGGGCTGCCAGGACTCAGAAGCCGAAAGCAACAAGCTTCATAAAATTAGACTTTTTCAGCTCTTAGAAACTCCATGCAGAGGAATAGCAGGAAAAATCCAATACGTTAAAGGATGACACCACCCTAACAGAAAAAAAAAGTGGAAATAATTAAGTAGAGAACAAACGAGGCTGAATTCTGACAATAAGTCACTTCTTCACTGCGTACAAAACCGGAATAGCTTAGATCCTTCCCTAGAAACATCATGCTTAGTCTCTCTACCAACCATGGTGTGAGTTACATCATCTTGCATGACAAGCCACACTTTAGAGAGCAAACCACCTCTTTGAATTGCACTCAGGAATAAATGGAATCAATGACTAGGAACACGCCTCTTGTGCGAGGTCCTGTTTTCATTATATATCGGGTACTGTATTCTTTGTGTTTGCATCTGGACTGAAGACAGCCTTCTCAGAACTGTACCATTATTACTCCAGTACGGGATGTCCAGGCCTGTGCTATTCAGCCCCTTCAGACTTGTGTTTCTATGGTTTAATGACTGGATAGGCAGCTAGTAAGACTTTTACAGCTGTGGGCACAAAGCAACGTCAGCAGTACTGGGAAGTTCTTCAAGAATGAGAGAAGCAGGCTCAACTGGCAAAGCACAAAATCCAGCTTTGACCGTCTTTGAACAGTAAGCTTAGAGGGAAAGAACACCTCAGTACTAACTCAGCTAGTTTAGAAAAGCTGAGTTAAAAGCTTTTAAAAAGTTTAGAAAGGTTCATTCTTCCTAACTCACAATCAAAAATCTAAGAGAAAACATTTTTTTTTTATCTGAAGATCAGTAAAAGCTGAAAAACTCACTCTCATGAATTTGATCAATGAGAAAATTATACGTTCCACCTTGTAAATTCTTGAAGCAAGCAAAAAAAATGTGATGGAGGTTTCTGGGGTTTTTTGGGTTTGTTTTGTTCTTTTTCTTTCATCAAAGACAAAAAACTCTCCCCCTTTGAAATTTTACTAGCCATCCTATTTCAATTTCTAGGCCAAAACAATCGTGCAGGTAGGTGTTTGCTTAGCAAAGTATTTTACTTTGGGATTCTCACACGCAAGCAAAAAGGCTGCAAGGTTTGAATACGAACACCGCGTGGAAAGGCTTGTTTTGCACAACTCAAAGGCACAGGAAACAATCACACGGGTGCACGGTGTCCCTCAGTTTGTGGGAAACGGTATGTGCCGAGTTCATCTAACAGCCTGCTGCAGTCAGGAGAGCCGCTATTCCCCACTGCCAAGCTGCACACTTCCCATCTTCTCCGGCCCACCAGCACCAGTCCTCACGCTGTACACCAAGCCACCTCCTAAATCGACGAAAAAAATAAACTCAAGGGGAAAAAAAAAAAGCTATGTTTGGTTGGTAGTGAGCATAACCTCCAAACAGATGAGTTTCTGAGCCAATGAAGAGGAAAAGGAGGGAGAACACATTTGTGAAGGGGGGAAGAAACCCCTTTCGTCAGCAGCAAGCAATTAGACCAGCTCCCTGGCTGCCCTGAATGGCACCTCCAGCTTCCTCTTCCCAAAAAAACCTTTCCTTGGTTCAAGGTATTTACAGAAGACACAACCTTGACATAGCAGACTAACAAAATAGGAAAAAAACTAACAAGGAAAATGAAAAAAAAAAATATAGAAATGAAGTTGCATAACACCCTCCCAACCTTTTACGCAAGAATACTCTCAGCAGCGTTCAGCCTGCCTCTACCCGAGCACAGGAACACACTCATCTTTTGTGAGTTTTGACACGGGTCTTAGTTACTCAGACAAAGGTTTCACCCAGCTGTAACTCAGGTTGTTTTGACATACATTGGACTTCCTGCATGGGAGCAAGATTATCTCTACCGAAGGAAATTGTAAAACCCCAGAGGTCAGAGTGTGCTCCCCTTCACTGAAATCTCACCTTTAGTTTCTAGCATCTGAGAAAAGGATTCTCTGTTGTCACGAGGACTCACCTGGGATTCAGCCTGTCATGTATTCATATTTTAAAAGTACGTGCTTACAAGCCTCGATGCTTCTTATTTTAGACAAGAATTTTTGTGACACCTAAGAAAAAAAAACACCAAAAAAACCCCTGCACTTTCACTGTTCAGGTTTTTCCTCTCAAATGTGCCTTCTTCTGGAGAACAAACTGTCACTTGTTTTAGAAGTTCAGTGAAAATATGTGGTTCTCCACGTACTCGTTTTGTCCTCTTTCCACCCACAACTCTGTTAGCAGACTTTGTTCACAAACATTTCCCTTCTCCTGCAAAGGGCTCAAGGAACATGAGGAGGCAGATCATATGGTGGTCAAATTCATTTGGTAAAAAAAAAATAATCCTGTATTTAGCCAAGTTGGAGGTTGTATTTAACCCAGAAAAGGGGGTGGTGGTTAGACAGACAAGAGGGCACGCACAGAGCCAGCCATCCTTGTGAAAGGGCTGATTCACACCCATACTATATCTGCTCCCAGCCCAGCCTGCCACTTTTTAAGCACATTTTTTAAAAACCACTTTCACATGGAGATGTTCAAAGAGAAGGAATGTGCCAGTCTTCTACAGAACGGAGAACAGCAAAAAGGCTATCAGCAAAATGCTTAGTTCAGGAAATAGCAGAAAAGCAACCCAAGAGCCACCTTCCTGTTGAAGAAAGCGTTATTTGGATCATCTCCACTTTGCTGCACAAAGGAAAAAAGTTTTGCTACTGGCACCACAACACAATAAAGTTGTGATTTTTTTTTTTTTCCTCCTCACAGATCAGTAAATTTGGGACTCGGTACTGACTCCCAGCTCAATTACAACTTTATCAAGCACAGCTTTATGAAGCTGAATATGAAGGAATATGAAGATCGAAGCCAAGCTGCATTGTCACGCACTGCTTCATGCCACGTTCAAAT